TAGTGCCACTTTTGTTTTCCGCCTACAGATCCGTGCCTGTCTCGAATTTCTATAGCTCTGTAGCAGCCAGTCCTGGAGGGTTGTGCGTGGCAGCTAGCGCATTCCCAGATCCACTGCGAAAGGAGGGAACTGAGACAAGAAGGCAAAGCAGAATGAAACTCAAAACTCGGATCTTCAAAAGGGCTATTGTTCTCACCTCACTTCAGGACAGCGCCTTCTTTTACAAACAAGGATTTAAGGCCTAAAGCTGAGAGACCATCACTTGCCAGGATTACAGTCTCCCAGATTATGGCTTTGTCAGTGCTGGGTCTTGTGTCTGTGTGGAATGAACAGCACATGAAGGAAAGACAATCTCAGTTTTCTGTGCAGTATTATTTATTTTGCATGACATACCACACTTTATTTCATTTTTAAAAATCTATCTATCTATCTATCTATCTATCTATCTGTCTATCTATCTATATCTATTTTGGTTTTTCGAGACAGGGTTTCTCTGTAGCTTTTGGAGTCTGTCCTGGAATTCGCTGTGTAGACCAGGCTGGTCTCGAACTCCACAGAGATCCGCCTGCCTCTGCCTCCCGAGTGCGAGTACTGGGATTAAAGCCTGCACCACCACTGCCAGGCTTCATGTTTTGTTTTTTAAATAGAAATTTATTTAGTCCTGACTGGCCTCCAACGCAGAGAGATCTGCCCTCCTCTGCTTCCTGATTGCTGGGATTACAGGTGTACGATACCACACCCATCTGGTTTATTTCTGTTTTTGTTTATCTTTCCACTTAAAGTATTACCATCGAGTGTACAGTATTATTCAGAGTACCTTGGTACAGGAGCCTCATCCAGGGTCAGAGGCTGTGTGTGAGGAGACAGACCCACAACTAAGCAAGCAAAATGTCCTGCTCTTCGTGTGTGACACACTTTTTATCCCACTATCGATCTGTCCATTGGAATGGAGTACTTTCCCTAACTCTGGGGAGTTCTGGCACCTAAGTAAGCTAATGCGTGTGAGTGCTTTGCCATTTCAAAGTATAGTCGTTAAAGTATCAAATGTCCTGCTCAGCACCATGGAGCTGCTGGAACCAAGGCAGTCTCTGGGGATGGTTAGATGGCTCCAAATTCAGAAGGCCCTCGAGGGCAGCGACATGGTGTTCAAAAGTAAGCTATACATCCCTTAACGTTAAATAGTCTTTCCCTCTAATATTTATTTGCATAATTTGACAATGTGGAGGGCTCACTGTAGTTTATCAATTGCTTCCTTAACAATTCTGTTCTTTCAGAGCTAGGCTGAGGTGTGTTGTCACATGCAGATCTAACTGCTTCTCTGTTTGCTTGTTTATTTATTAATTTATTTAACTTTATTTTATGTGCATTGGTGTGAAGGTGTCAGGTCCCCTGGAACTGAGTTACAGACAATTGTGAGCTGCCATGTGGGTTCTGGGAGTTGAACTCTGGTCCTCTGGAAGAGCAGTCAGTGCTCTTAACCGCTGAGTCCTCTCTCGAGCCCTTGTTTGTTGTTTTCTTGAGGCAGGGTTTTAATTTGTAGCTCTGGCTGACCTGGAACTTACTCTATATGACTAGACAGGCCTCTTGCATCCTGGGATTAAACATGTCTGGAATGATACTTCCTCTGGATTTTTTTTTTTTTTTTTTTTTTTTAGATAGGGTTTCTCTGTATTACTTTGGAGCCTGTTCTGGCACTTGCTTTGTAGACCAGGCTGGCCTTGAACTCATAGAGATCTGCCTGCCTCTGCTTCCCAAGTGCTGTGTGCCATCACCACCTGTCTCCTCTGGATTCTTAATGAGATCAGTGCAAAGAGTCTCTAATGGCCTCTCTGATCCTCCTCTTTGCCTCTGACTTCAGAGTCACAGGAATCACAATCAGGCCAGTGGCATCTACTGACACCCAAGCTTGAGCCCAGAGATTCTGTTTTATAATCCTGCTCCAGTAGTCTTTCCAACAGGCCTTGTTTCCTGTGACAATCCTGCAGTTGTTGAGAGAAATGGCACTCTGATTTGATAGTGATCCAGTTATTCCCAGTTATTTTTCTAATTTGTGCATCTGATTATTTCCTTTGCTTAAAAACTTTTGCTGGTTTCTGGTGCTTACAGGTTTGTGTGGCATTCTCAGTATTCTTATACAGAAACTCTCTCTCTCTCTCTCTCTTTCTCTCTCTCTCTCTCTCTCTCTCTCTCCCTCTCATTGTCAGGTGCTGTACATGCCACTGGTTGAGCTTTGAAATCAGAGGAGAACTTGTAAAAGTCACTTTTTTCCTTCTTATCATTTGAGTTCTGGGGCCAAATTCAGTTTGTGAGGCTTGGCAACAAGTACCCATACCCACTGAGCCATCTCAATGCCTTCTTTTTTTAACCGATTTATTTTTTCTTTGTGTGTGTGTGTGTGTGTGTGTGTGTGTGTGTGTGTGAGTTAAGGCTACATAAACCCAGGTTGGCATCCAACTCTTTCTGCCACACCCTCCAGCTGTTGTGGAACTTGCTATGTAAACCAGGATAGCCCTTAACTCACAGAGATTCACCTATCTCTGCCTTCTGAGCTGGTATTAAAAGTGGACGCCACCATGTCTGTATAGATTAAGCAGTTGTAACAACACATTGATGGGGAAAGCTTTGCATGTGTTGAGCCAGGAAATATATGGGAATTTTCTGATGCTTCTCATCCATTTTGCTGTGACCTAAAACTGCAAAAAAAAAAACCTTAATTCTGATTGAAAATCAAATTTCAAGTATACACAGCATTGACTAGATAGATGGCAATTTCTACACATTGGTTCTAGTCAGGTGTGATAGGTGATCCTGCTTTCCTTAGGGATGTTGGCTAGGTGCCCCTAGCACAAAGAGCCTTTGAAGGGGAAAGTGACAGGAACCTACCTGTTCCCCTTCAGGCCAAAGGGAGCCTCCTTGGGAAAACACCTAGAAGGCAGGGCCAGCTCCGGGCTTATGCAGGCAGCTTGCATAGCTGAGCAGTGAATATCCTGGGTCATAATCACAGGAACCCTGCTGCAGCGGGGACCACGTGATCTATAATTTATACTTTTATGCATGCCATCTCACACTTCCAGTAAATCCTCTGGAGGCAAGTTGCCACCTTGTCCCTCCTGACACCGAGGCTTCAGTTCAGTGCCTCAGATGATGGCTGGCCATGGGCACAGCAGATTGGAAAAGCTTTGGCCTTGGACATTTTAATAATTTGGCTCATCAGAGATCAATCTGTATTATTATAGCCAACTGGTTTCTGACAAAAGTGCCAAGAACAGTGGAGAAAAGACAGTCAATAAACAGTATCGGGGAAACTGCATGTGCATAAGAATTAAAGTAGATCTCTCCTTGTCATCAAATCCCCAAGTCAACACAAAATGAATCCAAGATGTAGATATTAAGCCTGAAATCCAAAGCTGGTGAGTTGGCTCACACTTTTAATCCTAGCACCATCTGGGAGGTGGAGGTAGGAAAAATGCTGTCAGACCAGCCTGGGCTACTGGGTGGGATCCCGTCACAAAAACAAACAAAACCAAAATAACAACAAAACAAAACCCGACAATACAGCAAAACAAAAATCCCCAAAGGCATGGGCCACAAAAGCAAAAAAACACACCCATGGATTTTATCAAATGAAGAAAGTTTGGTGTAGCAAACTTTAAAAGACAGGTCCAGTGTAGTGGCGCACGCCTTTATCCCAGCACTCAGGAGGCAGAGGCAGGCAGATCTCTGAGTTCAAGGTCAGCCTGGAGGACGCCCAGGGCTATACAGAGAAACCCTGTCTTGAAAAAACAACCAAACAAACAAAAAAGTCAAACTCTCAGCCACTCTGGCTCTAGGGTCATTTGCACTGAGGAAAGGCATTTCCATGCCATAAACACACTTACCTGGGGCTGCTCTTCCAGAGGTCCTGAGTTCAATTTCCATGGCTGCCCTTTAATTCCCAGCAACCATCTATAATGAGATCTGGTGCCCTATTCTGGCATACAGGCATACACTCAGATAAAGCATGCATATACATAAATAAATAAATCTTAAAAAAATAAAAGACCTGTGGAGAAGCCACACAGGGAAGAGCTAGATCTTGCTCTGAGACAACAGCTTGAGAGTGAGCTTGAGAGTAGATGCTGCTGACTTGTGGTGACCACAGTGCTGGCTGCTACTTCCTGAAAGATCCTGAGGCAGACCAAAGAGACATGTTACACAGAATGACCCACGGAAATCACGAAACAATAACACGTACTTGGGGTTTTAATTGTTAATTTACTTATTTTTGAGACAGGGTCTTACAATGAATGCAGTCACCGCCTCAACCTTACAAAGCTTTTCCTGCATCTGCTTCCTGATTATTGGGATCTGTTTCTTCAGGCTGTGCCCTCAGTCATTTCCCTCTTTCTTGCAATAGATGGCTTTTGTTAGTTTGTTGCAATAGATCCTTGCCAGTCATGTGCCCTGTGATACAGCCAAAGGCAAAGGAACCCAAGAGGGAAGGGACAGCCATTTCCTTCTAAGAAACAGAGCCCTA